CTCATCCGCAGTAGCGGCCCAGGGTGTGGCCGTGGGGGTGGGGGGCGGCGGCTGGGAGGTCGGACCTGCAGGACCGGAAGTGGACAGCCACCCCCCCTGGCTCTCCGGGCCTCCTGGGGCTGCTGTCGCGCAGGTTCTGGGGGACACTTGGCAGAAAGAAACGGGGTGGGAGTGAGGATGGATTGTGGGGATCTGGTGCAGGAGAAGACCTGGCTTGGACGGGGCGCCCCCATGTCTCTTTGACTCCAAAGCGCCGGGCAGGGACCGCTCCCTCCCCCATCGAACCCACTCCCAATTCCTCTTCCTGCTCCACAGGGCAGACCTAAAACTGCAGAGGAGGCCAAGGTGGGGCGGGGCCAGCCGGGCCTATCGTTCTAGAACCAACAAATAGTCTTTGTCCGACCGCAAACCCCCTCCTTCACCCCTTGGCCTCTGCCCCTTGGGGATTAGCCTCTGCCCCCTGGGGACTGGCCTCTAATCTTTCTTCATTCCATCCCTTCTCCCTCTAGAGTTTTCGGGTATGGGTTCGCTAGCTTGGAACACACCTTCCTTTCCAGGGCATTTATTCTCCTGAACTACTACTTCCTTGAATCAGCTTCTCTACCCCAAACTGTTCTGTTCCCGTTTCCTCCAAAAGCTGTTTAGAACCCCTATGGCTGCCTCCTCAAGGAATCGTTTGCACCTGGTTGTACCCAAGAACTGCGGTGAGGATCCTGCCCAGAGCCTCCTTGCCACTATGCCTGTGCTGAGCGGGTATCTCTGCCTGGTGCCCCCACCCTGCCTCCATTCTCCTGTGTTTGGTACACAGAAGCCATGGCAACGGACCCCACCTCATCTCCCCTCCTCCCGCGCAAGCCTTGTGGCTTCCTGTTTTCATAGCCTCAGCTTTCTCTTTTGCTCCTGACTCTTGGTGGTGAGGGGATGCCCTGAGGTGGCCCCTGACCTGTGGGTTCCCTGCTGTCTATGCTTCTGCCTGCTCTGTGGGGCAGCCCACTTTGTGGGCCAGTGCCCTCGTGGTGCACTTTCAGAATAGTCCCGTCCCAAATCTGAGCTGGGAAGTTCCCCTGTGTGCCATCTGCACAGTGAGTGTAGAGTCCCTTTGTCTTTGCAGTGAAACCCCCCGCCCCTACCCCATGTCCATGCCATTCCTTTGACTTTGGTGTGGGTGGGGTGAGGTAAGCTTCCAGCCCAGGGTCAGGGTGGAGCTGAAGACTGGAGTGTCTTTTCTGGCTCCTCCTCCGTTCCCAACTGTTGTGACTGAGGGTGGGTATGAGGGCTGTTCCCACAGCTGCAGTTAGGGCTAGAGTTGAGGTTGCTCATGGCCAACCTACCTCCCAAGTTGTTCAGCTGTTGCCTTCCCTTGGGCCTCCAGATCTGGGCATCGCCCACACCTGTCTTCCAGCTGGGCTTATCTTTTCTCCCCACCCCATAGGAGACTTGCTGTTTTCCCTTCTTTTGAGGGACGTCATGGGTGGGTCCCCTGGGTGTCATGAGGGTGGGCCTCCCCAGCTCCAGCAGCCGGATCCCATCAGCTTTTGCCTGCCCTGGAGGGTGGGGAAGAGAAACAGCTGCTGGCTATGCTGGGCCTGGCTGGGACTGCCCCTTCTCAGAGTTCTCCACCCTGTGGCTCTGACACCTTAGGGCTCCAGGGCAGTGCCCCGGAGTGGAGCAGATACACTGCAGCTGGAGGCCATGACCCTGCCAGCTGTGTCTAGGCCCCACACTGGGGGAGGGGCCCTCAGCATCCACCTTCCACCCAGAGGAGGGTCTAGCAGGCCAATTTTGCCCTGCCTTGGGGGCGACGGGAGCTGGAAGGGTCCGGGCCTTCTCTCTCTCCTTAATCTTGGCGTCTAGGTTAATCCTTCTGCCCTTTCTTTGCCTGTGCCATAGTCATCCCGGGGCCTAAGGCCACCTGGCCCCTGGAAACACAGCCCCGAGACCCGGATGACCATAGTGGAGCCCCTTCAGAAAAGAGGTCTGGAAGTCAGGCTGGGAAGAAGAGGCTTCTGGTGATAGCAGCCCTCAGCCCCTTCCCCTTCCTGCTGAGCCTTCCAGCTATTCCTCTGCACATCAGCGGTCAGAGGTTTCTGTAGACTGAGTAGTGGCTGGGGAGGAGAGGGGAGGGGAGGGGAAGGTCAGTCGGGTCGCTGGTCTTCCTTTCTCCTCAATCGACCCTGCCTGCTTTCCCCAGCTGATGGTGTGTGTGGCTTGTGGGTCAGGGCCCAGACCGACATTTAGCTGGCCCAGCTTTCAGGCTGGGGGAAGTAGGGAGGTGGGTGGCTCTCAGTGAGTTTTAAAAATAACTGATTTGGTGGAGGATCTCTGCCAGAAATGTGCAGCTTGATAAGCTGGGGTGAAGAGGCGCAGCCATGTTGGAGTGGGGCTGGTCCGGGACACAAAACCTTTGGCTGAGAGGCGTCGGGTGTTTGAGGCAGTCTGGCCCCTTGTACTTTGGCAGAGCCCCGAGCTAATCTGCAGTATGCAGGAGAGAGGGAGCCTAAGTGACTTCATCCCTCAAGTCTGACCTGGGCTGGAGCCAGATGTGGAGAAGGGGTGGTTCCCTTGCCTCCCTTTGAACGCAAGTGTCTGTCCTGAGATCCCTTTTTGTGAGCAACTAGACAGGCAGCTAGCTCTAATTCAGAGCAGAGAAGAGCCCATCCATGGAGGGCATGGGGCAAGAAATGGGGGCCGTGTGTCCCTTCTCAGTTCTTGGCTTCCTTTGGCATCACTAGCATTCCCAGCCCTTGCTCAACAGACTCCTGGGTGTGAGACCCAGGCCATGAGGTGGGAACAGACCGCCACAGTGAGGTACGCCGACTCGGGCCAGTGTTTGGGAAAGCACACAGTTCTTGCTACCCAAGGTCCTCATGTCAGGTTAGAGAAACCTTCCTGAGTATTTTCCCATCTTTCCTTTCCTCTTGGTTTTCCTCCAAAATACTACCCTAGGCTCCTGTATCAGTTTCCTATTTCTGCTTGATCAAATTACTCCAAACTTAGTGACTTAGAGCCACACAAATGCAGTATCTTACAGTTCTAGAGACCCCAATAGGAGTCTCTAAAATCCAGGTGTTAGCAGGGCCGCATTCCTGTTTGGGAGACTGAGGGGAGAACCCGTTTCCTTGCATTTCTGGCTTCTCAAGGCCACCTGCATTACCTCTGCTTCCTTAATCTCCCATCTGACTCACCTGCCTCCCTCTTCCAGTTAGGAAGGACCCTTGCGATTGCATTGGGCCCACCTGGATGATGCTCTCCACATCTCAAGGTCTTAATCACATCTCCAAAGTCCCTTTTGTGTCATGTGAAGTAACATGCCTACAGGTTCTGGAAATTAGGGCATGGACATCTGTGGGGGCTGTTCCTCCTCCTTCCACAGCTTCTAGAAGGGAGAGTAGAACTTGCTTTTTATTGCTTGGCTCATGGGAAATTCCTTTTGCTCGCTGGAATCTGTTAAGGGCCTACAAAGGCCTGCCTCTTCCAGGAAACCTTCCAGGCTGCTTCGGCCCAGCCTCTTAATTCCTGCAACAGGTAATCTGAACTGTGCAGGTTAGTATTCACTGTGTGCAAGTCTTGTCTGTTCATGTATACTCACCTTGTCTCCCTGATGGCATTGTGGGCACTTTAGGATCAAAGACTTCTATCTTTTTCACAGTCCCTAGCATAAATAGCAGGTGGTCAGTGGAAACCCAGTGGCTGAGTGAGGGTATCTCTTAGCATAGGTTTCTCAAGCTGCTCCATATTCCTTCTCCAAATCACTCTCTTCGCCAGGACTGTAAAGTGCAGGTTTGTGGTTAGAATAACCAGTTTGCCTTTGCTAAAGCTGACCACCCCAAATGAAGAGCTCTGGACCCCTAGTCTTGGACTTTTTTATCTCATATTTTGTTCCAGTGGGATTTTTACTTCATGCTAGTGATGGAACCCGTTGTTCAGATGAAATCTGTTGGGGAGCCTCAGGATAATACACACAGACAGCTGTCACAGGGGTGGGGCATCCAGAGGCGGCCACCTGGACACTGCCCAGAGTTCTTGGCAGTGCTCTTCCAACCCATGGGGGGTGGAGGGGTGGAGGTACGCGTTCCCTCATCTGGTAGCAGTTCTGGTCCTCACCCTTGGGGCTCACCCTGGGGGATGTGGTGTGTGTCCCTGCGGGGAGAATTCCCCACCCCCCAGGCTGCAGGGTATTGACAGCGGGCCCGGTGTGTCCCCTTCCCAGCCCCTTCAGTCACCACCGCCCTTCAGAATGGCCAACAGGGGACCTGCCTATGGCCTGAGCCGGGAGGTGCAGCAGAAGATTGAGAAACAGTACGATGTAGATCTGGAGCAGGTCCTGATCCAGTGGATCACCACCCAGTGCCGAAAGGATGTGGGCCGGCCCCAGCCCGGGCGTGAGAACTTCCAGAACTGGCTCAAGGACGGCACGGTGAGAGCTGGGCCCCTGCCGGCTTGGTAGTGCAGGGCGAACAGGAGCAGGGCATTGCAGAGGGTCTGACCTGAAGAAGGGATGACCAAGAGCACATCAGCCCCAGCTCCTCCTCTGCCTTGGTACCTTTATCGAGGATATGAGAGAGCTTCGTGCATTCCTCCCTTCCCGTCGAGCATAGGGTATGGGTGGACGTGCCTCCCCTGCAGTGGGATGTCTGGGTGACACGGAGGAAGAAAATCTCTAAAGAGGGTCCTGTGGGAGGCTGTACTAGCAAGGAAAGACCAGGCACTGCTTTTCACTTTGGGCTCAGAGGCAGGGGCTGGGCAAAGAGGACCCTGAGGCTGACTGCAGTCAGAGACCAAGCCGGCTTCAGCCAGAGAGGAACCTCTCTGGGTCAGTGTCTGGTGCTGAGAGTGGCGCATGCCTATCTGTGTAGACACGTCCTCACCTTTGCACACCTGCCGTCCTTATTAGGTGCTGTGTGAGCTCATTAATTCCCTGTACCCTGAGGGGCAGGCCCCGGTAAAGAAGATCCAGGCATCCACCATGGCCTTCAAGCAGATGGAGCAGATCTCCCAGTTCCTGCAAGCAGCTGAGCGCTACGGCATTAACACCACTGACATCTTCCAAACTGTGGACCTCTGGGAAGGTGGGACAGGGCCAGGGTCTGGGCCCGTCATCCAGGAGACTGGCAATTGGGCTGGATATCGACAAGGGATCAGTTTCTGGCTCCCTGAGGACAAAGAAGGGGATGCCTGTGTGTTTCCTGGAGGAGCTGGTTGTGTTAGGAGTTGGGATGGAGAGGGGTGTTAGGATGCAGAGTAAGCAGAATTAGGATGCAAGGCCTGCCAACTTAGTGATAGAGGCAGAACCCTGGCATCCAGGACGCCAGCCCTGCTGAGGCCAACATGTTCCCATTCTCCTCCCCAGGAAAGAATATGGCCTGTGTGCAGCGGACGTTGATGAACCTGGGTGGGCTGGCGGTAGCCCGGGGTGACGGGCTCTTCTCTGGGGATCCCAATTGGTTCCCTAAGTAAGTATTGCAGGGACAGCAGGTGCGTTGTTCCCACCGTTCTTGACCCTGGAAGATGACCAGTATCTCAGTGGCTGCCAGCCCTTTGCAAAGCATGTTCACATTCTCATCTCACTGAATCCTCACAACTCTCTCTGAGGTGGCAAGTAGCTGTCTCTTCGGAGAGGTGAGGAGGTGACTTCAAACAGAGCCAGGGTTGTCATGGGCTCTTGAGCCCACAGCAAAGCCCGTACTCTGTCCAGGGAAGACATGTATGGGGCAGCCTCAGACCTCCTCCTAACCAGTGCTCCCCTCCTACCCAGGAAATCCAAGGAGAACCCTCGGAACTTTTCGGATGACCAGCTGCAAGAGGGCAAGAACGTGATTGGGCTACAGATGGGCACCAACCGCGGGGCATCTCAGGCAGGCATGACTGGCTACGGAATGCCCCGCCAGATCCTCTGATCCCAGCCCAGCCCCTGCCCTCCCCTGAATGGTTAATATATATGTATGTATATATTTTAGCAGTGACATTCCCTGGGAACCCCCAGAGCTCTCCAACTCCCCTCTGCCAGGGTGGAGACGCAGTCTGACCTGTCACCTCTGGGGTGTCTGTTCGCGGTCTCTCCCCCTGTGCTTACTAATACATTCCCTTCCCCACACCCATCACAACTGGACCAACTGGCCTCTTCTTTTCCCCTGGGACCAACATTTGGGGGGGCCTCAGCTCCCCTGCCATACCTCTCCTCTTTCCCATGCCTCTCCTCCCGTCCTCCATTCATTCCGGGTCTGGCAGTCAGGGAGGCTGCCTCTGGCCTTCTGGTGCTGGCCAGCCCTCCTTCTACAAGCATGCCTTTCCCCTAGCTGTGGCTGCAGGACTTAATTTATAGGGAGGGGCCTGCGGCAGCTGCCACCCCCACTGCAGCTGGACTGTGCTCACCACACATCTGGGCAGCCTTCTCTGGAAGAGGCCCTCATGGCTTCATGTTTTCCATTCCCCTTGCTGTGGCTGAGGGGAGAGAGGAGGGGGGGCTGCCCACTCTGGCCTAGGGCTCAAATATGAGTTTGCTGATTTAAATAAAGAATCCCTGTCTTTTTTGGATGGACTCTGGCTGTCTCTAGGGCCACTGGGCCCACTGTGGGGAGAGTGTAGTGAATGGCACAGGGAAGAGGGCGGAGGTGAAAGGTTGTAGTGCTGACTCCTGGCCTTAGTTTCCTCCCCATCCTCTTCCTCACTTGGATGAGGGAAGGGTAGGTTGGGATTGAGGGGACAGGACCTCACAACTTTCCTTGGGAGCCACAGTGTGGCAGTGTTTACAGGATGGTCAGTGAGTTGGGCAGTCCTACCTGGTGCTCACGCCTCCAGCCACTGAGGCCCGGTTGGGCTGGCAGTGTATTCTGGCAAGTGCAGCTGCCTCAGGCGGGAGGCCCCTCAGGCAGGCTTGGGGCACGGTGGCCTGTCTTCGGCCAGACCCCGTGGCAATGAGGGAGCACTGGAGAGCTGGGGAACGAGCAGGTGAGAATTGGTAGTGTCTGGAGGTAAGAAGCCTCGCTGGCCATCCCAAGTACCTGTGGGCTGCACTAAGAAGGGCCTAGCAGCATGACGTCCTTGCTGGGTGGGTGACCTTGGACCCAGATATTCAGTTTTCGTTGAGTTTTATCTCCAGGCCCTGACTCAGGCTTTAATTTTCCACCCATAGTTTGTAACCCCTTTACCCCAACTCTTCCTGATCAGACCCTGTGTCTTGGTCTCACCCCCATCAACCCTCCCCAGGAGCCTGGACGCCATTGTCCCTCTCCCCCTTTCTACTTCAGGGCATTTCTGTGTCCTTAGGGAGGAGAAAGCCACAGCATGGTGCCCTGAGGGTAACAGACGATGCTGGTTTGTAACCAGGGAGCTTTCAGTTTCTTCCGCACTGTTCCCTGCCTCACCGAGGCCTCCTCTTCCAGGAAGCACCTACTGTGGGCCAGGCCACACACTGGGGCCTCCCAGCCTTCACTTCACCTCACCACACCACACCACACCACAGGAGATGGTGTGTGCTGCCCTTCCACAGATGAGATAGACCTGGGCCCCTGTGCAAATCCCCAGGACATTGGCCAGCACTCTACCCCTTATCTCCCATTCAGGAAGACTTTGTGGAATGCAAGTGAGGGAGTGGCGTCATTGCAGAGAAAACATTGAATTCACTGATATTCATGCTAAAGCAACAAGCCATTTGCCACCTTCCCAGATTTAACGATTTACAGCTACAAATGATTGGCCTTGCAACTCGATGATGGGCTGCATACCACAGTGCCAACCTGAGAACCATAGCCTCCTAGAACATTCTCGTGGGAGCCCAGGAGGTGGATGTTACTGTTTTCTTCTCATTTTGTCCCCAGATGAGGTCACTAGGTCTCAGGGCAAGAAATTTGCCCAAGGCCACATAGCAATGAAATGGAGGAGTAGGGATTTCATCCAGTCCACCTGGCTGTGAGCCCAACTGAGGTTGTGCCAGTGCAGGCTCTGCCAGCAGTGGAACTGGCAGGGCAGTGGGGGGTGCTCCACCTGTAAACTGAGGATGAGTGTTTCTTCCGGTGTGGCTGTGAGAATGAGATGAGACTGGAAAGCACTTTGCGTAGTGAACGGGCACACAGCAGCTGCTCAGGAACTAGAAGTGGGTTTGCGTGGACACTGGGCTGCTGTTGGACGTGGTCAAGGTCAAAATGTGGCCCTGTCCCCCTCCCTGGAATAGATTATCTTCAAGGCAGAAACCAGCTGGATTCGAGAGGTGCTCAGCCATGGGTCTCACCCTCTTCTGCTGCCCACTACCCCTCCTGCAGGCTCAGCTCTTTCCTCCTGGAACGGGCCTTCCCTGGCATTTCGACATTTTGCTCTGTTTTCTGTTTGACCTCTCTCCTGCCTCCTGACCCCCTCGGGCCCCAAGTCCAACATGGCTCCCAGTCCTGGGGTCAGGAGAAAGCTCCCCTGCATGCACCCCCTTTCCTTGCCATCTCCAGCACCCGTTCTCCGTGGCCCTCTGCACTGGTGACATTGCACTTGCAGGACTGACTGACTGCTCCTGGTGCCCCCATCTCCTTCCAGGTGTCACCATGGCTCGCTCCTTTATCTCCTTCAGGTCCTGTTTGAACGCCACCTCCCCTGACCTCCCTGTTTGAAATGGCACACTCCACCCTCAGCCCGCACCCCTCCTCCCTTCTGCTTTCTTGTGTCACCACCTGACACCTGATAGATTTGACTTATTTATTTTGTGTCTCCACCCACAGAGTGTACACTACACAAAGGCAGACTTCTGTTAGTTTTGCTCATGTAGAGAGGGGTTGGCATGTTGTAGGTGCTGGATAAATATTTGTTGAAGGAATGAATGAGCGAGCATCGCACCACTCTCATGCTCCTCAAATCGCCTGGCCCTGCATTGCGGTGCCTGGCCAGCCCAGCGTCCTGCAAACCAGCCTCTCAGATCTGAGATGGAACTGAGCTCATCTGTCAGCTTTCCATGCTTCCAGATTGTTCATTTCCAAAAGGTGAAAACCAAAGATGCTATGCTCCCTGGGGTTGGCGGAATAGAGGCTGGGGCGGGGGGCTGGAGGGTGGTGTTCACAGGAATAGAATATGCATGGCGGATTGGGGGGAAGAATGGGAAGAGGGCAGGAGGAAGAGACAGAAACCAGTTGTAGTTCGTTAAGCCTTGCCTTCAGCCTTGACATGGAAAATCACTGGAGGTGGAGGGAGAGTGGGCAGGGCTTGTGGCGGCCAATGGGAAGGAGGGCTGGGGAAGCGAGGAGGGGGGAGGTGGGGGGGAGAAGGAAGAGGGTTTCAGATGCTCCGCCCTCCTGGGCTCACCTGTGGGTGAAGCTCAGCTCTGTGGCCTTCCCATGTGCGTGTGCTTCCAGGTTCACGAGAATTCCCAGGACCAAGGCTGGGGATATGGGGGCGTGGGTGGGAGGAGATGAGTCTGTGACCGTGGAGGCTGCTTACAGCCATGTGGTTACCAAGGATCGGGGATCATGGGTGCAGAGGGTGTTGGTCCTGTGAACGAAGGCATCGGTGTGTTTTTACATGGCTCCGTGGAGAACAATACATCCCCTTACCGTCTCAGCAGCTGAAGGAGGCCTTTGAGAGCTTGGCAAGAGGCCCGTGGAGCAGCAGAACAAGGAAGGAGCTGGATGATAGGACCCCCAGGAGGGAACAAGGAAGGGTCTGGGATTAAATTTGTTGAAGAAAAGGCTAAAAGGGTGAATTAATAACTGTCTCCTTGCAAGGAAATGGGTTTCAGTTCCAGCGGCCAGGGAGGTAGACTGGAAGAAAATGCATTGAAATTGTGTCTAGAGAAATTTCGGTTAGACAAGGAAAAATGAGCCTCTTGACTCGGAAGGTTATTAGCCTCTGGAATCTTACAGGTCGAGAAGAATGTCTTCGATAGCAGGACAAATCTCTTTCTATGGAGGGAAATGGGCAGTTCTGCCTGGGAACCCTCATATATATACTTTTTTTTTCATTCATATATTCATTCACTTAACAATTACTGTGGTTCTGCTTTATGTCGGGTCTTATGGGGGATATGGGTGACTAATACATGATCTCTTTGCACAGAACGCATAGTCCTCGAGAGAAGATAAAACACAACATGGGTGGGAGTCGTGATAATTCAGGAAGCCAGTGATCTGTGTTTGGAGAAATGCAGAAAGGGCTTGCTTGGTGGGAGGACCATTCGCCAGCCTCCAGGGGCTCTGGTCAAATTCCTGAGTGGTGACTGCTGGTGATGTCATGAAGAGCTGAGGTCACATGCCTCAGGGGTCATCTCCCCTGATCTGTCCAGAGGAGTAGGGATCCTTTATGGGGGCTGCCATGGAAAGAAGTGGTCACTGGCTCTGTGGTCAGAGGTCAGGTTTCAGTGAGGGGTGAGGGGTTGGCTATTCCTTCCTGCCTGAGTCAGGCTGAGTCAGGGTCAGAACCAGCGATCCGGTAAGGACACTGGGGCTGGGGGCGGGCCAGAGGGGTTTATACCAACACCTCTTCAGACACGGGCTGTCACTATTGGCAGGACCTGAATTTTTTTTTTTTTTTTGAGTAGGGAGTCCCACTCTATCACCCAGGATGGAGTACAGTGGCATAATCACAGCTCAACACAGCCTCCACCTCCCGGGCTCAGGTGAACCTTCTGCCTCAGCCTCCCGAGTAGCTGGGACTATGGTTGCACACCACCACACCTAGCTAATGTTTGTATTTTTTGTAGAGACGAGGTCTTCCTATGTTTTTGAGGCTGGTCTCCATCTCCTGGGCTCAAGCAGTCCTCCCACCATAGCTTCCCCAAATGCTAGGTTTACAGACAGTGAGCCACTGTGTCTGGCTAGGGCCTGAATTGTGAATCGGGTTTCCTTTAGAGAAACATGGCTCCGTGCGGGACTGATCAATGATGATGATGATGATGGTGATATTCCCTACCGTTTTCTGGTAGTCACTGTGCTCGGAGTTTTACTTGTATTTTGTATTTGTTCTTTCGTCATCTCAAAAATTATTTCTTTAGTGCCTATTCCAGGGTGAGGCACCTGCTGGTTGCGAGAGATATGACCATTAACAAGACAAACATAGTCTGCATCCACCTGGAAGGAGCTAGAAAAACAAGGAGTCGATTATTACACGTGTGATTGTGGTGTGATGAGGGGAGTCTGGGTGCTGTGAGAACACACAGGAGGGGCACCTAACCCAGCTCTATGGGGAGGGGTGTCCATGAAGGTTTCTGGAAGTCGGTGATGTCTGAACTGAAGACTTGAGGAGAACTTGGAGCATGAAGGGAGACCCGTGGTGGGGAGTTGGAGAGTGTCCTGGGCAGGATAGGGTATGTGCCCGGGCTGGAGGTCAACATATGTAGACCTGGACTGTGGAATGTGTGTGTTGGAGGTGAGGTGTTGAGGAATGCAATTGAGAAGGGCCAGAACATCAAAGAAGCTTCAAAGTCCATGAACAATTTTGGACATTTCATTGAGGGCACAAGGAACCACTGAAGGGTTTTGAGAAGCGGACTGAAGAGCTGAGGGTTATGTTTCAATCAGAAAACTCTCTGAGGCTGCAGGGAAGAGAATGGCCTGGGGCTGGGGATGT